AGCTCCCAGAAGCCTCAGCCATGTTGGCCAATAGTCCCATGTTGGCCAATAGCTCCTGGGATTCTGGGAGCTGAAGTCCCTCGGTCCTTAAAGGGGAAAGGTTGCCTACCCCTGAGATAAACTGACTACTTTGGTAAGGGAAAAGCAAATGAACGTATTTATAGAAAAATGGAAACCATTTATAGAATATGTTAACCAATTAAAGGGAGATAATTAGGCAATTGAAATTAGTTGTGTTAATGTGTTTATTAGTTGTGTTAATGGGAGGAATGTGGAATAATATTAATATGTTGAATATTTAGTTTAGAAGAGGAATTTAAAAGATTTAAGGGGGAAGGGAATATTATTATTTAAGAAACCAGATAGGGAATAAGTGGGAAGTCTTTTAAAAGGGAGGGTGAGGGAGGGGGGACAGGGATTATTATTTGTATATTTACTTGTGGGTTTGTGTCAGTGTGTATATATGTCCAATTATTTATGTGCTAAATTTTGAATAAATTATTTTCATTAAAATATGACAAGGAAAGTAGATAAAGAACTAATTAGAAATCAGGATTCCAAATGGGCAATAAGTGAGATATTTTGGCACAAATTGGACAAAGAAAAAAAAAACACCAAAATTATATGACAATAATTATTAAAAGAAGTGGAATGAAATAAAAAAAGATTTAGAGAAATTTAGACAAATAGAACAATTTGTAGTTATTAATGATGAGCAAGATTTTAGTGATCAAAATGAATACACTAGCAAAGATTTTATTTCTCTTTCAAAATTTGCTTATAACAATGAATGATAAACCATTTAAATTATGGCAAAAAGACCTATCTACTGTATACATCTATACATTTTGGTCAAAAAATTGAACCCAAACCTGAGTTGACTTACCTATGGGTCAATTTAAACCATAAAAATGAACCACTCCTGGTGAAAGACAAAAGTGCAATCTTTCCTGGAAGCACTGACCTCCCCTCTACTCTCTTATCTATCCAGCCTTTAGGGTGGGCATTAACAGTTATGCCTGCTGGAATTTTTTACTTTGGCATTGTTTTCCTTTGTTTCATCCTTTGCATTCTTTGTTATATGCCTCTAAGTCTTACCTCTAAGTCTTACCCTTGACTTATCCACAGGTCATATCAAAATCTATAATTTTGGCCCCAAAACCTGCCCTCGGCTTATACATGAGGTCGACTTATAGTCGAGTATATATGGTAAAGTTATCCAGTCTGGAAGGAAACCTAGAATAAAATGGAAATTGTTATGAGAGGATTAATAGCTTACTTCACATACAAATATACTATCATCCATGTAGTCTAATCTGGATAAAAGAATGGATAAGTCTAAGAAACTACTGCAGCTTAAAGGCTCAGATTTAAGATATGGCTGGTACACCTACACATGGCTTGACAAATTAGGAAAATCTAGAGATTTTGATAATCACTGCATAAAGAAAACTCTCCTGAAAATTTGGAAAAAATATAGAAACAAATTCTATAGGCATAAACCAGGTTGGGTATCCCACATGAGACTTTTGTTTAGAGGAGACATGATGGACCATACAGACTGGCTGACTTTCCTCTGTATGAAGGAGATCCCAGGTTCCATCTTTTGTATCTTTCAATGAAAGGTTTCTTGAATGGTAGGGTATGCCTCAGGCTGTGATAAGGCATTGCCAGTTAAGAACAGAAAATACTGAGCTAGATGGATCAATGATTCCCCTCAATAGAAAGCAGATCCCTATGTGGCTCAGAAAGCCCAACTCTAGTCCTATAAACAGTTTTCTGATGCCAGCATTGATTAACTGTCAGTGGCCAAGATAACATTTCAAGCAGGGGTAGTCACAGAACAATAAAGTGACAGTTCCATTATTTCATAGATCAAAGTATAGAACATCACATCTCTTCCACATCTGTGAACAACATCTGTGTATTAGCATACATTTTCTACTGCCTCACTGATTATCTGTAGATTCCATTGTCTTTCTGTGTATGCATATTTGTTGCTGAGAAAGTTAATTTCCACAGATACTGTGAAGACTCAAGCTAAGCTCAAGAGATCTTTGGAGGGCCAGAATGGTGGATAATACCATCATCTCCGCTGATCAAAAAAGTCTTGGCTTTTCCACTCTGCAAGCCACACCATACACTGCAGCTGTGGCCACAAAAATAGTTGATGAGCCTGTTGAGCTGCACAGGTAGACTCAAAATCCCTCAACATATTTTAAAGGTCATAGCTACCACTAAGAAATAACAAAACACAAATCAGTACCTTGAAACATGATAGGCTTCCTATCATATAATTGTAAAACCAAAGATATAGAAGCACTTCCGAGATACTTCTATCAGAGATCTACACCCTTATCCACAAACCAGATAATCCTGACCATCACACTTTATCTCTTCTAATAGGGATGATCTGACTATGTCAGACAGCCAACATGAAACAGTTGTTAATGTATAGAGAGATTTTGTAGCACCTTTTAGACTAACTGATGGGGAAAAAAGAAGTTTGCAGCATTAGCTTTCGTAGACTTTAGTCTACTTTTTCAGATGCTTATGCTAGAGTGGAAGCCAGAGACAGACAGGAGTGCAGCAGTTTAAGTAAAGAAAACTGAAAAGGAATGTTGGCTACTGCAGAACCATTAAGTCATCAATCCATCAACCTCTTCAAGAAGGCTTCTATATATTAATATAGAATTATATTATTATAATATTACAGGGGTAGGTAACCTTTCCCCTTTAAGGGCCGAGGGACTTCAGCTCCCAGAATCCCAGGAGCTATTGGCCAACATGGGACTATTGGCCAACATGGCTGAGGCTTCTGGGAGCTGAAGTCCGTCGGTCCTTAAAGGGGAAAGGCTGCCTACCACTGTACTATTATATATTAATTCTATAGACTAGCACAGCTATATCTGTGAATGAAGCAGTTGTGTGAGTGCTGGACTAAAGATTCTGGGACAGCAAGGGTCAAATCTCTAGAATCATAGAGTTGGAAGAGGCAACAAGGGCCATCCAGTCCAACTCCCTGCCATGCAGGAAATCATAGAATCATAGAGTTGAAAGAGACCACAAGGGCCATCCAG